GACATGCTTATAACATCTGGCCTTCCCTTTGCTCCTTTCTTATTATTAACTAGAAGCCTGATGCACGAAATTCGTGCAAGAGTAGGCCTTCCTTCCCTCGGCTGCCGGCACCGGCTTCCCTCTGGCACCCAGGACCCAGGCTTCCCTCCGGCCACTGGCAGGCACCTGGACCCCGGGCTTCCCTCGCAGCCCCTGCTTTGTCTGGAAGGTCGTCTGGAAGGACGTCCGGAAGGATGTCTAGTCTAATTAGCATATTATGCTTTTATTATTATAGATAACTAGCTAATTACAATGGCATTATGTCTATAGGTTGTACATCTATGAAGAAAGGCAAGAAAGACTTACCTCAAAATTCTGGGTGGAGTGTTGATTTATAAAATGGCCCCATACAAGGAGGGCAAGGATAGACTGAAGAAAAAGACAGGCTAGTCCAGATAGGCAGGTTTTAACAAGTAAGGGAACTTACCGACAAGGCTCATCTTGGGCAGCTGAAAGATGAGTACATCTCTGCACCACCCATCAGAATCTTAAACGTTTATATAGAGGCCATTCAGTCAAATGTACAAATGGTCTCAACAAGGCCGTATTCTCTCAAGGCTATGTCTTTGAAATGGTGTGGGCTATGGGAATGGGGGGGATGGTACTTACAAGGACAGGGAAGGATAGTGAGGAGCCCCTGATAGCCTGGGTCCAGCTCGAGAGTCAACCAGTAGTCATGACCTCTCAATGACCTCCTCCAACAGACTCTCAGGTATTTAAACTATGCAGAGGATCTAGGCACCACATGGGGACAGCGCCATGAATTCTAAGGCTTGGGGCCTAAGAACCTCTCACAGATTGGTCCTGCAAGTTCAAACTTCCAAGATGATGAGAGATTCAGAGCTATGAGATAAAGACTCATTGTTGTTTGCCCAATGTACTGGGAGAGGGGACAAAATCACCCCCATTTGAGAAACACTGTTCTAGAACAGCACTGTTCAATACAAATACACTGCAAGCCTCATCTATAATTTTAAGTTTTTTTGTAACTACACTATGAATGTAAAAAGAAACAGGTGAAATGAATTCTAATAACATTTTACTTGATTCAATAATATGCAAAGTATCATTTTAATAAGTCATCAATATAAAAAGTTGATATGCTTTATACTCTTTTTTCAATACTAACTAAGTTTTTGAAATCCTGTACTTTACACTCAGAGCACAATCCAAATTGGACGGGCCACTTTGCAAGTTCTCAACAGCTCATGTGGCTTGTGACTGCCATATTGGATGGTATACTTCTAGAACATAAGCCCCATGAGGGTAGATATTTTTGTCTGTTTTTTTTTTACATTGTTATATCTTCAGTGCCTAATACTGTGTATAGTAGCACCTAGTAGACCCTTAATAGAGATTTTTAAATAAATGATTAAATTAGTATCCAAGTCCAAGATATCCAAATTTGTAAGAGAGAAAGGGCATTCTATTTTTGACCAGTTTTATTGAGATGCAATTGACATACAATACTGTAAGTTTAAGGTGTACAGCATAATGAGTTGACATACATATATTGTGAAATAATTATCACACTATGTTTAATTAAGAGCCATCCAGAAGGACATTCTTACTTAGACTGGACACTTTAAAAGCAGTAAGAGCAAGCCAAAGCAAGTTGAATAATCCCATCACTTGAGGGCTTCACTCTTGCACAAGATGAAATTCATAAAATCACCACTAAAGAGGCAGGTTTGCTGGTAGGTGGATGAAGTGTGTGGGTGGAGCCCATCCACAGGTTCACTGCTTTCCTGCTGTCTCCCACATTCCCAATGAGATGCTGAGTTGTCCTCTTTTAAGCATCCTCCCTTGTCACACCCCTCCCCGAAGTGTGGTTTTGATATCTACATCCTTGTGGTAACACTGTTTATTTTTCATCCTCACCCGAGGATATTTTTTTCCATTGATTTCCAGAGAGAGTGGAAGGGAGGGTGGAAGGGGAGAGAGAGTGAAACATCGACATGAGAGAGATACATCTATTGGTTGCCTCCTGCACTAACCACTACAGGGGCTGGGGAACCTGCAACCGAGGTATGTGCCCTAGATGGAGAATCGAACCCACAACCCTTTTGTCGGCAGGCCCATGGTCTAACCGTTGAGTTAAACCAGTCATGGTGTTGTTGCAATCCTATTTTAATGGCTCAGACACTGTGTTAAGAACTACATATTTCTTCTAGCTCTCTGGTCTAAAAAATATTGGCTGGCCACAGCTGCAGTTGAGATTGAACTTTTTAAACTGGCAAACACCATGATCTCCTGTGTATGTGTAGGCAGTTAAGTGTGCTATTAAAATGAGATGGTGTTTTGCTCTTTACCTATGACATGCTGATGCAAGCAAGCTGGCCACAAAAGACACAGCCAGCACCTTCCCTCAGCAACTTTTCTCACATCTTCTCCCAACATCTTGCTGTACTTTTCAAAGTAGACTCCAAGTCCTTTCGGGTCTTGCCTCCATTTTTCCCCCCTCCAGCCACAGGAGCATTATGACCTTGGGCAAGCTAGTTGTATATCTGGATTTCTTTCCTGGACTTTTCTTCTTCCACCCTCCCCAGCACTGATATAAACATGCACATACAGAGGGACTAGATTTTTTATTTTAGTTCAAGAAAGAGATTCTCCTCTGTTGACAAATATCTAGACAAAAACCTAGCTGGACTGGCTGAAATACAACACTTTTGCACCAAGAAATCATCTATATTAGAATTGGATTTCCCCCTTTCAACAACACTGCCATCCGGCCTGGGTTCCTGTCAGCACATCTGCTTGGTAGATGTTACACTAACCTGTTATTTCCCTGGAGGATAAGCAGACACATTTTCCGGAAGCTCCTTCTAATACCAGCCTCTTTGCTCTCTGTTCAGTGGTGACAGTTCAGGCTTGCATTCTCTGGCTAACATGGTTTACAGAAGAGTGACCCCCGGCTGAACCAGAGGGACCAGCGTCCCATCCTAGTCTACCATTTCTACATGTCCCTAAGCAGGCGAGGCAAGATTTGAACTCTCCAGTGAGGGCATATAGGTGGTTTTGAGTCTTTCTGAGTCATTTTGAGGTAAATGTATCCTGGAGTTTACCACAACCACAAATATGGGCGATCAGTCGCATCATTTGAAAGACTTTTAAAGCACACAGATTCTGGTTTCAGTGAACAGTCCTTTGGCAATTCTGGCAACAGGATCCTTATTTTTTTGGGGAAACCCATTGACATGATTTAGGTCAGTGGTTCTCAACCTTCTGGCCCTTTATTTATTTTATTATATATTTTATTGATATTTTACAGAGAGGAAGGGAGAGGGATAGAGAGTTAGAAGCATTGATGAGAGGAAAACATCGATCTGCCTCCTGCCCACAGTTGCAGTTGAGATTGAACTTTTTAAACTGGCAAACACCATGATCTCCTGTGTATGTGTAGGCAGTTAAGTGTGCTATTAAAATGAGATGGTGTTTTGCTCTTTACCTATGACATGCTGATGCAAGCAAGCTGGCCACAAAAGACACAGCCAGCACCTTCCCTCAGCAACTTTTCTCACATCTTCTCCCAACATCTTGCTGTACTTTTCAAAGTAGACTCCAAGTCCTTTCGGGTCTTGCCTCCATTTTTCCCCCCTCCAGCCACAGGAGCATTATGACCTTGGGCAAGCTAGTTGTATATGGGGTCGCGACCCACAGGTTGAGAACCCCTGATTTAGGTGGAGTACACATTGATATAGCTGCCACAGGAATGGACACATGACTCAGTCTCACCTATCAGAGCACTATATCCTTCTGGCTACTGATTGGTTAAAAGATGGGCATGTGACCCAAGCTAGACCAATCAGATATCTCTCAGAGACTTTTGCTAAAACCACCAGGAAAGCAATGCGCTCCTATCTTTGTTGAGGATCACTAGCACAAAGACAAGGTGAGAACAGAGCTGTTGGTGGCTAACACTTTATCACATAGGAAACCCATGAATGAAGCTAGATGAGAAGATAAGAGAGCCAGGAGTTGGAGGAGAGAGAGAATCTTGAAGGCAGCATTTGAAACCCTGGATCTAGCCAGGTCTAAACCTAACTTAGGACCTTTTAGTTTTACCAATCGATAAATATACCCACTTTCCCCCTCCCTCTTTCTTTACCTTATGTTAGTTTCATTTGAGTTTCTATCATTTTCAAACAAAACCATACTTATTAACACATTCCTATTCACAGGATCTCTCTAGTTGGAAACCACTGATCAGTGATAGTGATTTCTAAACTTCAGAATGTATGCTTTACAAAATGCTGATTTCTAGTCTTTCTTTCCCATAGATTCTCATTCAGAAGGATGGAGCCCAGGAATCTGTATTTGGTAAGCACTCCAGGTCTTTCTGATGTAGGACCACACTTTGGGGATCACCAAATTGCAATATTCTTTTAGGTCACAGTTTCAGAATGAAGAAAGGTAATTGACTGGGTCCTTCCATGAGACAGACCCCTCAGGTAGGTTCTGTACTTACCTCATTGAATCCCCAGAACAACCTAATGAAGTTCATCGGCAAGGCGGGGGCGGGCCTGCCCTGGATGGCGGCGCACTGGCGGCTCAAGCTGTCCCGCCCTGCCTGCAGTATGCAAATTAACCGCCATCTTTGTTGGCAGTCAATTTGCATATCTTGCTGATTAGCCAATGGGAGGCATAGCGAAGGTACGGTCAATTACCATGTTGGTCTATTATTAGATAGGATTCCTATTTGCAGTATCTCTCTATTTGGAAACCACTGATCAGTTATAGTGATTTCTAAAGTTCAGAATGTATGCTTTACAAAATGCTGATTTCTAGTCTTTCTTTCCCATAGATTTTCATTCAGAAGGATGGAGCCAAGGAATCTGTATTTGGTAAGCACTCCAGGACTTTCTGATGTAGAACCACACTTTGGGGATCACCAAATTGCAATATTCTTTTAGGCCACAGTTTCAGAATGAAGAAACGTAATTGACTGTGTGCCTACCATGAGCCAGACCCCTCAGGTAGGTTCTGTACTTACCTCATTGAATCCCCAGAACAACCTAATGAAGTTCATCAAAAGAGAAATAAGATCTGTCTCCTTAGATTTGCACAAATGATTTTGGATCGAAGTAGAATAGCAACTCGACTCTTTTAACAAGAACAGATAAATGCAAGAAATGAAAGAATCCACAAAGTTTTCATTGACGTTCCAGATGTTAACAATTCCCAGGATACATGAAATTAGAACTTAATTAGCTTCTTAAATGAAACCTATTGGTCTTATACACGTGGGCAAGAGAATATGATGCTTCTTCCAACAAACAGTCATCAGCAAGGTGAAGAGTCTGAGTGGTACATACTAGAGGTGAAGCCATGAGAAACTGTCATTTCATCAGCCATGATTAGAATCATCCTGCTTTGTGAAAACTCAGAACTGGACTCTTCTACAGCTGATCTTCCATCAGTGGTATTTGCACCTTTTGCTTCTGGTTTTGAATTTAAACTTATAAGTATGAAGAAGACCCTGAGATGAGAATTCATAGGCAGTTGATTTTTTAAGGAAGCACTTGCAGGAGAAACCCACTTGGGAAGCGCAAGAAGACAAGCACATTGAGTGTGATTTCAGGTGAAGTTCCACAGAGGGGGCTCCAGGCTGATCCCGCAGAGGACTCTGGAGTTTAAGGTAGAGCTCGGAGTTTGTTCTGACCTGAGGCAAGAGAGCTGACATTTCATACTCCTGCACCCAGAAGCCATTGACTAAAGGCTCTTCTGAGGCATATAACTTTTGAGCACAACTGGTTCAGAACATCCAAGCAAATTTGCTCCAATAGCCTGAGACATCTCTCTTCCTCTAAAGACTTACTTGAGCATGGTAACAGAAGCGAAGCAAGCAAGGGACACAAGAGATTATCAAAGGAAGCCAAGGGGACTTGGCTAGAGCCCAATAGTGCCTGGTCCAATAACACTGATTTTGTTGCTGACTTGACAAATCTAGTCATTTTTATTCATTTTATTAATTCACCAATCGACCACTAGCGGATGACAGACATTGGTTTTATGACACGGCCCTGATCTAATCTTAGACTAAAAGATTAAGAAGTATCCTGCAGGTTGCCATCTCTTAGACATGCCCAAATCTTAATATTTTTTATACCCCAAACGTGCATGAAAAGGCCTAGCCTTTGTTTTTTTCATTAACATTGATTTTCATTCTTTAAAATGGGCAATCCTAGTTGAAGAATGCATATATTGTCCATGGGAATCAATAAAGCAATCTTTGACTAAAGAAAATCATGGATTTATTAAAATTATAAAATTCATTAACATTGATTTTCATTCTTTAAAATGGGCAATTCTAGTTGAAGAATGCACATATTGTCCATGGGAATTAATAAAGCAATCTGACTAAAGAAAATCATGGATTTACTAAAATTATAAATGTGAGGCATACCACAAGAAATCAAATTAGAAATTAAAAAAAAACAACAACACTAAAAAATCTCCCTCTTAAGTAGTACTGCCCAGAGGTAACCATATTCCACTAGTTCATCCTATTTATTTATTTTTCTAGTTATTTAGCCAATCTCTTACTGATGGACATTTAGGTTGTTTCCAACTTTTCACTAATACAATGTTTCAACAAACTTCTTTTCATCTATAGTCTTACAAACAAGGATACCAGTATCTTATACACAAAGATAGACTCCTTGAAGGAGAATTATTGTTACCAAGATTCATGTATTAAACATTTTAAAAGATGCAGTCAAATGTTAACTCCCTATCCCATCTTGCATATGGTACTAACGTATACGTTCACCAACAAGGATTTAAGTGCTAACTTCTTCAGTTATTTTTATCTTAAATGAAAAAAAACAACAACAACCCATTATATATCATTGTATTTACTGAATTTCGTCTTGTGCATAAAACATAGTACTTACCCACCAAACCTCATTGCTGTCAGTATGATCTGTTCCAGAATATGATTTTGCCCAAACTAAGGCTTGAATCATTTTCCTCCCAGACTTTTGAAGTGCATAATTCATTGGCTTTTCGTACATTCACAGTGTTGTGCAACCATCACCACTCTCTAGTTCAAGAACATTTTCATCACGTCAAAAAGATAATCATCTTAATGACCATTGTATGGTACTGAGTACATGCTTATTGGATGTTTTGGGAAGGGAGGAAAAACATATTTTGAGTAGAAAAGTGGCCATCATTGAGGTTAGAGATCAGATAATCTTTTTTTTTCTTCTGTGCTGTAAAGTTTGAAGTTTCCGGGACTTCAAGTGTTTCTTTCGGCACTCCTCTTTTTAAAGAATCCCCATTGGCCTGAATAATTTAAAACACTGACCTGGGGTCTTGGGAAGAGATGATGTGGTTTACTTTCATAGTCTCCGTATTACACTTCTAGTCTGGTCTTCCACTTCATACTTCCATGTAGCCCTTCATTCAGCCACACTGACTACAGTCGTTCCTCCTTATCCCTGGGGGAGGCCTCCCAAGACCCCCAGTGGATGCCTGAATCCACAGATAATACCGAATACACCGTGCTTTTTCCTATATGTGCATACCAATGATACAGTTTAATTTAAAAACTAGGCATGGTAAGAGATGAGCAACAATAATAAGATAGAACAATTATGACAATATACCGTTATAAAAGTTATGTAAATGTGGTCTCTCTGAAAATATTGTATTTTACTCACCCTTCTTGTGATGATGTGAGATGATGTAGTGCCTTATTAAGTTGAGAACTTGCACTTTTTCGCCTAAAGGAAGCACTTCACGGCTTCTCTTCGGTGTATCCTAATTGCCAGCATCGCTACTCTTGGGCTTTGGGGCGACTGAACAATTATGACAATATACCGTTATAAAAGTTATGTAAATGTGGTCTCTCTGAAAATATTGTATTTTACTCACCCTTCTTGTGATGATGTGAGATGATGTAGTGCCTTATTAAGTTGAGAACTTGCACTTTTTCGCCTAAAGGAAGCACTTCACGGCTTCTCTTTGGTGTATCCGACTTGCCAGCGTCGCTACTCTTGGGCTTTGGGGCCACTATTAAGTAAAATAAGGGCGTATAATTTTAATAAATCCATGATTTTCTTTAGTCAAAGATTGCTTTATTGATTCCCATGGACAATATGTGCATTCTTCAACTATTTATTAAGTAAAATAAGGGCTACTTTACAGCAAGAACTGAGAACCAAGATTGCTATTATGTGACTGGCGGGCAAGGGAGCGTCTAGCGTGGATATGCGATTCGCGTTCTCTGTGAGACAGCGCGAGGTTTCCTCACACCGCTCAGAATAGTGAGCAAGTTAAAACTTACGAATTGTTTATAGCTGGAACTTTCCATTTAATATTTTTTTAGATCAGAGGAGCGTGGGTAATCAAAACCACGAAAAGAGAAACTGCAGGTTAAGGGGCGGGGGCTACTGTACCAGTGTTTTCCACGCTGTGCCTTTATTCAAAGCCCAGAATGCTCTTTCCCTGGTTCATCTTATTCTTCAAAGCCTGTCTTCAAGGTCACCTTCTCTACAAAAGTCTTCCCTGATATTGTTCTCTTTCTCACATTATAACTCGGAGTGCATTGTTAAACCTCCTCTCTCAGGGGATCTGCTGTTCAGATGACTTAACTGTGTGTCTGTCTTTCCCACCTGAATGCCAGTGTCTTGATGGCAGGGGCATTGTCCTAGTCATCTTTCACTTGTGCCATAGTTTCTCGTTCAATAGTGTTTGCTGAATTAACTTTAACCATAGAACATATTACTATTAATTTTGATAGCATTTAATTAAAAGAAAATAATCTTGGGGGGAATTGATTGTATTTCTGGGGGGTGGGGGAGAAGACCTGTCTTAGGACTCTTTTGGATGAAAGAACCCCACATCTGTCAAATTAGCTTAGGTGTAAGGGGTTTTTTAAAGAAAGATAAAAAAATATCACAGAAGCCAAAGGAAAACTAGAAATCTAGTTCTCTAAAAGAAAAGGAGCGGGGTGGCAGCAGGGATTTGCAGCAGTAAGGGTTTATGGACGTTCCCTCTGGTGATTATTCTTTCTTTCAACTAGTATTTATTGAGCACCTACTATATACCAGAACGGCGGCAGGCACCAGGCATGCAGCAATGAACAAGACTATTACAGTTCCTGCCCTCATGCGACTTTCAATCTGGTTCCTAAGCATTAATGTAATAGGACTCTTGACCTTTATCCTCCCCTTATCTGTGTTTCTTAGTTCAAATTCTTGAGGGCAAATCAAATTAGCTTTTGGGCTGTATTACAATTGGCTGGACCCTCCCGAGTCAAGCATCCGGGTCCATCTCTAGCCTGGCTACAGAGGATGGGAGAGCAGGGACTTTTCTGAAGAGGCTCAAGGGCTGATGAGGCACCCAAAAAATCACTTTCTTCTACATGATTTGCAGATATGTCATTTGTGATTCATTTTATATCCTTTAAAGCACCCAATTTCAAAGTCAACTCTAATAAAGAAAAAGCCATTTTATATTATGCTGCTCTGGGAAGCCAGGACAATTACTGCTTTAATTTGAAAGGAATTTCTGCCCGAGCAATTAGCTCTGTCAGTGAATATTGCAGACGATTTGGGGAGTTGGGACCTTAGAGAGCACCAAATTCTGCTGACCTATTTTCCAGATGGAGACACCAAGGTGCAGAGAAGGGGAGTGATTTGGTAAAGGTCGGTGATCTGTCACAGGGGACTTGGGAATGGAAGTCAGGTTGTTGTTGAGCTGTCTGATGCTCTGCCTTTTCTTTCTTCTTGTCATCTACCCTCATCCATTCCTCCTTTTCTTATTCTTTCCTTTGAAACACACTTTAATCAGTTACTTTTCTTGAACAGTTAAAGCATACAGATGGTTTAAAAAGAGTACACAAACATATGCAGGGAAAATTAGTTCTCCCTCCCCATCTAGTCCCTGTCCCTAGGAGCCATCACTGCTCCCAGTATATCTTTCCAGAAATAATCTGTAAATTCTAATCATAAGTATGTTTTTATTT